CACACAACACTCCACACACCACACACTAACACACACAGCACGACACGACACACACACACCACACACACACACACACACAAACACCAAAACACACACACACACACACACACACACACACACACAACCATACACACACCACACCACATACAATCATACATACCATACATACATACTACATACATACATAAATACACTACATAAAATACATACTCATACAGACATAGACATACATACATACTACATACCATACTACATACATACATACATACACTATACAGTGCATGCATGCATGCATGCATGCATAGCATGCCATGCATACATTACATACATACAGCATGCCAACATACATACAATACATCACGACGCGCGCTCGGCTGACCAACACATACAAAAATATGCGGATAATGCGATATGAATAGGATTAAGGTGATTAAGATTGGAACAATGCCCAACAGATTAAAGATGGAGTGGTAGTAAAGTATGAAATCTGGTTGTAACCATTCTACATTATTTTAAGAATAATGCGGTAGCGAACTATCGTGCTAGTTATGGTTAAAATTGGTATTCGATATGTTTGAATATACAATAATTAAAATAATTGCAGTAATACGTACAGTATAAAAAAATCACTAACGCTAGCGCAGCTACACAAAGAAGCTACGTCGTATATCGATGACGGTAGCATGCATGCGCATCAGAGACAAAGCAAAACGTCATATTAGCGAATAGCAATAGAGTATAGTACTATAGGATAAGGCGCTATACCTGGCAGTCAAACTCTACGTTACAGTCACACATATATAGCACGCGGATTCACTATATCCGGAAAAACGGAACACCGGGATAACCGAAGGTCGGATAATCGGTCTCCACTATTAGTTAATATATATAATGATTTCTTTTTGTATGTATAGGCATATCGCGAACGTTCGTCTTATCTATATGCTACGTTTTCGTACAATCGCGGAAAATACATAGGCGACGTCCGTACAGGGGCGCGATTCAGACCGTATTTGCCGTATTGGGACATACGCTCTAGATTTCAAAGCTGCCCTTCGAAATAGTGCGCTCACTCGTGGGGTGTGTGCCCTTTGGGCGAAGTGCCCTTTAAATCTTTGGAAAAATACTGTCTAGCCTCAGGCTGCGACCGGCCCTGTCGCTATCCAGTTAAAACTCAATTATGTTCGAGTTTAGATTTTATTTTTTAATAAACTTGCGGACGCCGCGAACATGCATTTGGCCACATGCTTACGTTATGCGTCCAATCCAGGAAAAAAAAAAAAAATGTAGCACATTTTAAATTGGAAGTAGACATTTCAATAAATTTAGTCGTCATGGACTCTGCCCGTGTTAAATTCCGTAATATCAATTTCATGACTTAAAGTGTTTGTTATATCGGTTCAACATCAATATCGCTCCCGGGCTGACTCCTGCTTATTTTGAGTGCGTAGTTCGGCGCGAAGAACAATGATCGGCTGCGCAACCGACAAACAAGCGAACGCGAGCCCTTCCCATTACATTAGCATAGCGGGAAAGAGTTGTGGGGCGGATGCTCGCCGACGTGGAACGTTTACGCAGGCTTTTAGCATGCACATCTCTCGAGCATACCCTGCCTATCTTGAACGCGTTAAGTTCGGCCGAAAAATCTTGACTAGCACGGCGGCGACTTAGAACGCGAGCAGCCAATTCTCATTACATTACTACCGGTATGTACATGTACATTAGTACGGTAGTACGCCGGTTTCTGAACCAGTACCGATAGGCCAACCACAGTTGTAAGATATCCTACACGACCGGCTTGTGAATTCACATTGGTGCTACGATGGCGCGCCGTCCGCCCTGAGCCCTCAACAACAACCATCGTGATGCAGCGCTGAGCGCCCATTCTCCTCCAGTAAAACCTTTCACCGCCATCCTAATCGTGAAAGTTCTTTTCTGGTTTATTAGCGAGTTCGGTGAACCGGTGTCCACGAACGCTTATGTAGCAACTGGGATATCACTGTGCACGTACTGGTATCCGATTATAATCAGTGTAAATAACGGCATAACCCTTTACGGGCTCTAGCGTTGGGTTGTGTTATCAAGCACTGATCTCAGTCTTGTCAGTAGACTGTCCTTCCTTTCTCTGTGCAGCGTGTCCCAGGAAACGCTAGTCGCCTGCATTACCTA